AGTAAAAACGCTGGATTCCAAAGTACTTCCTCTCAAAATTTTTTTTTAGCCTCAGCTCCGCAATTTCTCACTGGTTTTACAATCAGTCAATAGATTACGCAATTTGTTTCTGGATTCCGCAATTTAATTCTGGATTCCGCAACTTGTCCGTGGTGTCGGCATTTGTCAGCGGAGCCCGATTTTGATGCTGATTTCCACTGTTGTCACTGGGCGAATTAAACGTATCCTACGGCTCTAATGAAATACTTTGCTTAATGGAATCAACTGCTAATTCCTTTAACTCAATAAATAACATGAGCTATCAATGTTATTTCAGCCTTAGAGCATACTGTTTCAGATCAGATCATAACGACAACTAAATAATTAGTTAACGAAGATAGTTTGGCCAAACACCACTCAACATCATTTAGGTCAATGACCTTTAGCTTAAATACGAGATCTTGTTCTAACACATAACGATAGCACCACCACACTGGGTCCCAAAAGATTGTCTTTAATCATTAGTAAACTTGCGCTGAACTAAACTTGAAAACTTCACAAATCGCCATAAAAAGGCAAAGAAGCAATATCCCACCGGAAATTGTGGTATTAAAAAATAGTGCAGCAATTGAGACTCTCTGCATTTTCTGTAATGAAAACGAAACAAACAATTTTAAAACCATTTTACATTTCAGCATTATCTTGGGCTGTTAGGTTCCGTTTTGTAGCTGGCCGAAAAACAAAAATTCTGCCAGCAAATGAATTGCATCAAATATTAAGAACATATCAAAAATTTGGTGCCAAAAAAACTTGCCGGTCATGAACGTCGCGCCGATTACAAAAATTGTACCGGTCGCGCGATTTCCGCCCTTGTTGCAAAAATTGCAACCGATTTTTAGTCATCAGATTCTGGACTGGGCCGATAGTAGTGGAACCTGTTACTCCGGATCACGCTGATCTTAGTTTTTATGGCTGAAAACACGACAGATCTCTCTTGTCGCAAAAATCTGGAAAGGGGCGATGTTTTTCGCGCCGATTGGGCCGGTGCATGTCGTGTCGCTTCATTTGCTGGGCCGTATGTTATTCTGGGTGATGCCGCTTGCGGCGGCCCCTACCTTGGACGCGACGGGTCCTTTCGGTCACAAAAGTCTGGAAACTAAATGTCTGGTCGCAAAAAGTGGAAAATATCCGTAGTTAAAATCAGCTCACGCCGTGTCTTCCTTTGTACCGAAAGTTTCGTCGGGTCGTTTAGGTCGCGAAAATCTGGAAATAGCAACTTTTGGTTACAAACGTTTTGGGCAGAAACACTTGGCCCCTTTGGGCACTTTTGGCCCACTCAAAATAAAAGTAGTAAAAATTTGCGGGAAAAAACGGCACCCTTACACTTTGGTTCTTTCCAGTCTCTTCCTGGCGTAGTCTGATCATTTTCTGATCTGATCAGAGGAGTTGCAATAATAGTTTCATAAATTCTTACGTCGACCCATTCTAATCTTGCTATTCTTAGCAGCCGAATTCTTTTTTGACTAAAATGCATATGCTTGTCAATGGTCATTATGTTTTTGCTAATACATGTACATACAAAATTATGCTTCCTTTCGAGCGTGTTAGAAAAAAGAGGATGTTTAAAAAGATTTTTGAATGTTCGAATTAGCCTTCATTACAACCGCGAGAAAGGAATCACCAAAGCATAAGTTATTAACAAAAATTTGCTTCCTCAATCAATCACAAAAACAAGGGGATTCATTCCTCCATTAAAAGTATTGCTTCTATTTTTGAAAGAAAAATATATTAAAGCTGATAGATTTTTAAAAATTAGCGTCTGGCTACTATTTTACGATCTAATGGCTCTGTTTCGCCAGCTTGATTGCCCTGAATTTGCGTAATGGACTCTACTAATGGCTCTTATGGGACAATGATTGCGTTAAAACGAATGTAAAAACGTTCTGAGTTGAATAAATTTTCCACAAAATATTGTGTTCAAGAAAATTTGAAGAATACAGAGAAATAATGCAAATGAAATTAAATTTTCAAATTTGAGCTCAAACAATTGCTGTTTTTCAGATGTTATTAAGGAGTGCAAATGGTACACAAACACTCACCTTCTCCGAGAGTCTGAGAGAACAAAAACTAACCCCATCCTTAGAAAAATCAACACAATTTTTAAATTATTGTGTTTTGAGAATGAACACAATGACTGCAGTTTATCTGTCTATTGATTTTTCATTCAAAACTAAATTTAGCTTTTTTTAAAATCAAAATCAACACTTAGCGCATGTCATTAAGTAGCTGGTATCATTTGCTTCTAGTAGCAGAATAATTGAGAAAGTTTTTATGTCTTAACTCGGTACGGAATGTCCATTTGCCCACATTGGCCACTCAAATTAATTGGAGAATTCGAAAAACTAATTCATTTAATCCATTACTGTTTTGATTTTTAATAAAACCAAAAAACATTAGATTCTATGATTATATATTGACATTTTTGCACTCTTAGGTTTATTGCAAAACAGAGCCAAATTTTTTTTTGACGTTTTGTTTCCATATTTTTAGGAATGGGTTTGTTTGAAGACAAAAAATTTTAAAGCTTGTTAAACTTGACATCAAAATTCGGCAAATGTCAAGATTAACAAGTTTTAAAAGTTTTCTCTTCAAACAAACTCATTTCGTTTTGCAATAAAAAGTTTACTTCTTTTCTCCAACTTTATGTAAGGTTATCCAGCGAAACTCCTAGAAGAGTGATTTGTCCCTGTGTGGTTTCTATTTATACAGCGTTTAATGTATTATAACCATAAAAATGGAAATCAAAATCAACATTTATCTAAACTTTGAGTTTTATAAATAAAGTGTATTTTACTCTAATAACCAAAAGTAGTAGAAGACGCAAAAAATTGTTAGAACCATAAAATCCTTTTTCAAAATATTTACGTCGAATCAAAGAAAAAAGACTGCTCGTACCAGTATAGAGTATTGAACGTTCCGATCATCTTATTATGCATAAAAATCTATTCTTAAGGAAAACCTATTAGTCTTTCATTTTCTAATAACCTTTCAAATTTTTTTTAGAAATGTTTAAATAATGCATTGAGATAAAAACATCTTATGATCTTTTACCAGCAATTCATTTTTTTACGACGTTATGGGGTTTCAGTGCTGCCCATTTGGCCATTTTGTGATCACTTTTTTGCAAAACAATTATTATTTTTTTACTCATTAAGTAGTGTATGCGGCTGCTGAAGGTGGCTCAAAATTACTCCATTTCAACTCAGACACGCTATTCGGTCTGATTAAAACATTATTATAAAGGTATATGTGATTAGACGCAAAAAAAAACAATAAAATCAAATACGAATTTTTTTATGATTATGGGTATTATAAAATTATTCCAAAATGATTTTTCATCGGCGTGTAATATGATGTAGTTTGCAGCAAATTATGCAAAATGCGACCGTTTTTTGCACATTTTAGAATTTAGTTTATTTTCCAACTTATCAGTTTTCTAAAAGTAGGTTTTTCTACCAATTCCCCACCACATGCCATTTAGTGTGTTTCTCAATTTGTTTACTCAGCGCAATTGTCATCAAAATTGAGATTTGGCTTGCTACAATACACAATAAAAACACATTTTGTTTTCATATTTCGGAAAAAAATTGCCGGCGAGCGCTAGTTTTTCTGACTAAAATTATGTTCAAGGTTGCTTTAAAACTGAAGATAGCATACAGAACTTGTGCAGATGGCTCTTTTCAATTAATTTTGTATGTTGAGAGTATATCCAGCTCTCAATAACTATGATTAGTTGCAAAAAATTTGGAAAAACAAATTTAATAAAAAAGAGCAATTGAACTTTTTTGAGAAAATTTCGAATACTTTTAACAAAAGTTTTCGAACAAAGTTATTAAAAAAAGTTTCCAAAAGTTTTAGCAAAAGTTTTAACAATTGTTTGGACAACGTTCTAAATTTTTGAAATAACTGTGACCTTCAAGCAAAAAACCAGATCAAAATGGCCTGTTGAGTTTCCGCGTATGCTTTTTTCCGCATTTTGTGATGCTTTTGCTCTGAAAAATTCAGGGCAGATCGTTGTTCAATGAAAATTTTGTGGGCTTACGGTTGTTCAAATAATGGGCGTTATTTAAATAATGCTTTTTCCGGCATTTTGTGATGCTTTTGCATTGAAAAAATGCAGGGCAGATTGTTGTTCAATGAAAGTGTTGTGGGCTTAAGGTTACTCAAATAATGGACGTCGCTGAAAAGAAGCAACCTTTCCGCAATCATTTAAGTTTCAGGCGTTGGCCAATAAATTTTTTGAAAAACTATAGACAAAATTTGAATATCAAGATTGTCTGAAACATAAAAATTGCAAGCAAAACTCCGCCAAAAAGGAGAGATTGCTTCCTATAATTAATTTTGTGTGACTTAAAATTTTTGCTGCTCTCTATAAATTTAGAGTTATTGCTGTTCCGATTTTCGTAACGATAGTAACAAAATATTGGAGCTCGGGGTGGTTTTTTTTCTTCAGACAAACTTCGACTTTTTAACCAGCCATCTCTGAAGGAATTTTTTAAATATCATTCAAAGAGAATGTTGTGTACTGAGCTTAAATTCAAAAAGACATTTCACCTGTGATTATTTTTCGTAAGTTATGGGGGTTCAAAGATTGCCATTTTGGCCAATTTGGGACAATTAACGCGCGATATATTTTGCACTATTAAAGCGTAAGCGGAGATTTAATCCGTCTTAGAAATCGTTCCAAATTGGTTGAAGGAAGCTTATTTGCCATAACGGAATTGTTACTAGGAGCGAAATTTATTACTTTGTACTTTGTATGGCGTGAGGGGGGATCGTTATCATCATACTTTTTTCAAAAAAAAACTTCTCATAAAGATCTCAAACTTTTTTCATTTTTTTATTACAGTTATCTTTTTCCTGTTTTTACAGCTCCATAGACTTTAAAAGGCAGTCGGAGCATACATTTTGGGCTTTGCCCTGATACGAGCAATCTTGTTGACTTTTGGGTTCTGTTTCAGGTCTCTATACATCCATAACCACATCAACCTGTTTCACCCTGGAACGAGCGCTGGCAGTTTGCGACCCCTTGAAGAGTATGTGTTTGTGCACGAGGAACAAGAGTGTCAAAATCTGTATTGCCAGCTGGGCCGCCTCTATCTTCTACAATGTGTGTGTAGCAGGCTTGAAGCTAGTCGCGTACAAGTACTTCCCAGGTAACAACTTCTTTTCCAAGGGTGACCTAAATGCCATTTTGCTCAAATTGGGGTTATTAGAGCAAAATTAAAGCACCACTTCATGTTTTTTGCTTACTGCTAATTACTTAATTGTAATTGGAAAAAAAAATACAAAAAAAAATTATTATTTTCCTTTCACAGTTCGAAACCCAATGAAGTAACGCAATGAAGTTCCATGGATAATAATCGATCGATTACCAAAAAAAAATTATGGTCTGTCTCTATAAAATTGTATAACAATCAATTGCAATGGATTAAAAATTGATATGAATCAAACTTCAATCCAGTAAAACCCAGTATAAAGGATTAGATATTATAATTGAAAATAATCTTTTTTAAATCAAAAGCCCGGGGTTTCCAAAAACGTTTCTGCATATATCCAAAACTTCAGTCGTTAACTTGAGATTTTCAATTGGCTTAATTGTATAAAATCTTTATATTTTCTATTTGTATCCTTGCAGATTTTTCTCACTGTTTTCTCATTTGGGGTATCTTTCTCCCCGCCCCGTTTGCCCCACAACTACTCTCAGCCCATTCTTACCACCTTCAGCTACTACCACCACCTCCACACCCCCCCGCCACACACACACGCCCACACTACCACAGACTCTCACCCCCTTACTCAAATATTGCAGTAATTGTTGGGGTTGAATGAAGGGGGAGGATAGGTGTGTGGGGCTATAAGAGGGGTCGAAATTTTCGAAAAAGTGCAAAAAAAACGCTTTTGGCCTGTTTTTTTTTCAAAATTTTGTCTGCAGTGCAGAAAATGAAAATTTAGCCAAAACAGGGTCTTTTTAGTGCTTTGGAAGAGTTCGGAAAATCAATTTGGTCAACTTAAAAAAAGTCGACAAGATTTTTGAAAATTTTTTGAAAATCCGCCCCCCGGGGCTCTTCGAGAAAATCCTAGATCCGCCCCTGATTATAACTGTCTATTATCCGCGGAACCTTAGTGCGTGAACTCATACAATTTCTAGTGTGTCATTAAATATACTTTAAAAAGTGTTCATTCCAATTGAGCCCTTGTTTAAAAATTTTTAATTCGAAAACCCGAGCAAATTGTTAGTTAGCTATCAAAAACCATACGTAGTGAGATTAGCTAGTACTGGCTTAATTGATTGGTCGTCTCTTGACTATGCTGTGGTCCTCATTTAAGGAAACAAACGGCTGACAGTTTCAATCAGTTAAACGAGAAGAAACTACAAAAAAAAATTGTGTTTATTGTTTTCAATCGCTTCATGGACAAACCGTTCAGGTATACGACCCTCCGACCGGCCAATGGTACCCTTGATACCGCATCAATTTTTGGCCGTTTAGACTTAAGAATATTTTGAGGGCTTCTTTGACGGCTTCTTTGAAGGGAGAGAACGGCCAAAACAAATCTTTCAAAACTTTTTGGCCCTCTGCTTTCTTAAAATTCACCTAAAAAACTTTGGCCAAATATAGACTCTTCCTCCAGTTTTCCTCAATACTGCACTGTAATTAAAATTTTCAGAATAGTTTAGAAAAAATGATTAAATTCCATTATAATTGATTTCAATCCATTATATGGATTTTATTGATTTGACAAATTTGAAGATTAGAATTCAATTTACTCAATTGTAATTTGTTTATTTTTGAAATTCATAGAGACTGACATTAAAAATCCAATGTCATCGATAATTATTCTTGAAATTCTAGTGCGTGAGGGTTCATAGCTAGCCTTGTAAAATCCTTCGTTACACCAAAAAATTGATGTTTCTGCCTGGTGAGGAGAACGTTAAAAAACATAACGCGCAATATCGACTTAACAGTGCTTTAAAAGCGCAGGAAATCAATTTCATCGACCCAAAAGAGGTAATTAGGGAGTGCCTTTTAGGGAAACTGCCCCCGTTTTAGATAGAAAGTTTGCGGTTGTTGTTCAGTTGATTCAGAATGTATTTAAGAACATCTTATAGCTCTCGTTTTGCCGTTATTGGGTACCAAAATGGATATAAATTAATTCAAAAGCTGGATACAAGCCGTTTCTGGGATCGCCCCCTCTAGATCAATTTAGAGAGGATATCACTTGGTTATTTACTGCTTGAATTTGCCATTTAATTTTAGGGGGAGACTGTTCACTTGGTCTATTGAGGGGGGAGATTGCTCACACGTGCCCATCTAGTGTATCCATCTAAGTACCTAGTGAATAATATCTTCCCCTACTAAGAACTCGCAATAGAGTAAAATGTTTATATAGATCCCGTTAATATAACCTAACAATTTTAAAATCAAAATTGGACTAATTAGACTTGAAAATGATTGATGATCCATCTACTGTAAGTGATGCCAGTCTGCGCTTTGACAATTCTAGACAACAAGTTAACAATACTGGAAAATTTTTCTATTTTTATACCAATTTTCATCAAAAATTAATTTTAAACAAGGATAGCCAGTTACCGTGCAAGTCGTACAGAATATTCCTAACACAGTCTTTAAAAAAAAACAATACTTTTTCAATTTTTTGTAGTTTTTTGGCGTTTTTTTGATTTGAGGAGCTGAACAAAAAACTGAAGATTAGATATATTCGTCAGTCATACTAAAATCAGCAAATTGAAAAACAATTTTTTTAGAAAACCTTCTTAAAAAAATAAATGGAAAAATAATTCAATTTCTGCAGTTTTTGAATTTTTGAAAATTTTGATTCCAAAAAGGCAATAAACTACTCAAACTAAAACTAACGTTACTCAAGTAACAGAAGTTTTAATCTTTTGAGTTAAGCTATTTTAAGCTTTTAAGCAGTTAAAATAAGACTGCTCGCTTGCTTTATTTGCTCGAAATAAGACAAAAAATCAAAAATTTCAAACCGTTGTTTTTTCGCCGCTGGGAATTTTTTTTGTTAATTTTTTAAATGTGGTTCAAATAACGACTGTAAGGGCTTTAGTAGGATATATCACTCAACTAAGTCCGATATATCACCCAACATATCACTCAACTCACTCCTCCATTTCTAAAAAGAATCTTGCCAGATTCTGAATTCGTATATCACTAGAGTAACACTAGGCTAAAAATTCTGAATTTTGAAAAGATATACGATGTCGCAAAAACAGCAAGATTTAAATGTTAAAGTTGAATTTTATGAGCACCTCTGGCAAAGAAAATCTCCGTGATTCGGTTGTTTATTTTTTGAGATTTTTGCAAGGTACAATGTGCCAACCGTCAGATAACTAATGCTTTTGTCATTTAAATGTAGTCTGGTTAAAACTCCAACGTCAGAACTACCCTCGATTTTGATTTAAATTTGTATGAATTAGTGCCAAATAAAATTTTAATTTGTATATTGTTGCAAAGTAGACAAAGTTGACAATGGTGCATAGAATAAAAAAACCTGAGCGTTATGCAGTTGGGGAACAACACCGGACAAAACGAACAACATTGCGAAGTTCAAACGAGTTTTTCTCATATTGGGTTGAACTAAGACAAAAGGGTGAAAAACAAAAGTGGCTGAAAACTATACCAAAACTATATTTTTTGCAAAAATCGGAACCAAAACTGTAAACCAAAATGTGTGATTTTTGTTTCATTTAGCTACTCTGGAACTACGCTGAAACTTCTAAATCAAATCATGAGCAATTTATATGAAAAGAAGCCTCTTTCATCGCTCAAAAAGCTTATACGTGAGCACCTTCTCAAAAAGTTTGAAACGTGAAAAATTTGTGTTTAATAAAAGTTTTTGAGGTTTTGATTGTAGGCTCCCATAACTTTCTTTGTTGAGCGGTGTAAGAGGCTTTTTTCCTATAAATTGCTCATTAGTTGACTTGATAAATTTAACGTAATTCTAAATTATCTAAAAGAAGCCAAAATGACCCATTTTTGAGCTGAAATGTTGATTGGGAATGAAATAAATTGTACCATTTTAATTCTGGTGATTTTCTCAACAGCTAATCTTCACTTTTTGTCTAATCTTCACCCAATTTGAGTAAAAACCGTTTATATTTTCCGCTTTTGTACGTTTTGTCACCATCTAAATTATCCGGACAAAACAAACAAAAGTGGAAAAATTAAAAATATATAAAAAAATGTTTCAAAAAATCATAATTTTTCCCACTTTCGAAGAAAATGACGGAAAATTTTTGCTGATAGTGGTTTTTTCTCCATACTATTTTGACTTTTTAACTAGCCATTTTTGACCAAATTTTTTTTTCTCATCCAAAATTTATCGTTGTTTGAGCTCAAATTTTAAACATTTTTCGCCTGTGATCATTTTTTCTAAAGTTATGCAGTTTTTTGGAAATTGCCAATTTGGAGAACTCGGGACAATTAACGCGCAAAATATATAGTACCAATAACACGTAAGCGGCTATTAAATTCGCTCATAACTCGTTTCAAATTAAAATGAGGCAGGACAAATTAAAATAGACGCTAAGAACATCACTTTTACTCGGCATAACGTGTGGGGAACTTTTCAAAAAATCCAAAAAAAAAAAACTTTTTTGGAAATTGTATCAGTTTTTTAACCTGACGCCTTCAGGTCTTATTTCAAAAGCATTGCAGGGCATTCTGAAAATTCAGGGTTTTGCCCTGATACGAGCAGTCTTGTTTGAAATTAAAACTTTTTATGTTGGTTGGAAATAGAAATTGAAACACCATCGATGATCTATCGGAAACCTTGTTGATCTTTCAAATTTTTGGTTTATCAGTTTTCCGTCATCCTAGTTTCGATCATATCTGAGCATATCTGAAAGACCTAACTTCATATTTGTGACCTGACTTCTTCTGATGTCATAAAAAATATCAGTTTACTTTTGCATTACTTTTGTAGAAGAAAACCAACACAGACGACAAAAGGCACTTCGTTGCAACTTTGGGCTATGCAATTTTTTTTTCAAAGCTATATATATATAGACACTGAATTAACCAAATTTTTTGTAGAAAAAAGCTATGCTGAGTTTGAACGTTTTTCGGCTTATTTCTGTGGAAAATTTTTATAGTGGGTTTTGATTAAAAGTTGCTCTTCTTTTCCTTCATTGAGTATTGAGACCGATTTGCCTCTAAAGGTTGAGACTAGTCGGCCAAAAATGAATGTCGTTCAAAAGTACCAAGAAGTTCCTCTTTCTACGAAGAGTTGAATGAATAGTAAGGAAAACGCCTCCGATTTAGTCGTTAGACGTTACTTAAGTCAAGGATTTGTTAGGGGTGCATCTGTTGTACCATTTTACGCATCCATTTTTGGCTGAACGACTCTAATGTTTTTCTAAAACAGCTTTGAGGCCAGAATATACTAAATTTGAGACTTGGAAAACCTCCAAAAGTTCTCTGAAAATGGTAGTTTAGCTCAATTTTGCAAAAAAAGTGGCTCTAAAATCTTTGTCTGAACTGGGTCTCTTGGCATTTCAGGAAAACTCTGAGAAATCTTACCCAAAATTCGAAAAACTACATTTCGAAATTAAAAAAAAAATTGAACCCTCAAAAATTCCTAAACACACCCCCTAAACTAAGTTCTGCAATTTTTGTAATCTTTTCTTTTTATGTTTCTTTTCATATTGTTTCCTTTCCACCATTACAGTTTTTACTTGACCCGCGTGACTTCTTTTTTAGATCACGTGACCAAATTCGGGGACGGATTGTTTGTCTTGGACCTGTCCCTCTTCTACACGACACCCTTTGTTCTCTCCTCCATCTGCTACTGGCGAATCATTCGGGCACTCCGAGCTCGGGCCAGGATGTTCGCCCTCGGAACTATTCACGGGTTCAACCCGAAAGCCTCCACTCGACAAACGAGAGGCGATCCCGCTCAGAAACCACTGAAAATGAACACCTGTAGTACTTCACTACAGATGGTCCAGAAACGACGGAACATGAATGACGTTGTCGCGAAGATGGAGATTGCAAAGCAGGAAATATCAACGTCGGTGTCGAATGCCACGACTGAAAACAAGGATAGAAGTAGAGAGACAACTGGAACTCTAAAAAGGGAACCTACACACCAGCACATGTCTGCAAATCGCAAGGTCACTTTAAAATGTTCAACCTTTTTTTCCTGCTTTTAACCTTGAACGTAGCTTTGGACGACGATCAATTTTGATCAGAAATAACTTTGTATTCGTTTAGAATTTCAAAAAAAAAGTCGAATGGGCTCGAGGTCTATTTCATATAAACACTCTTTCAGTCCTTATTTGCGCTATAATCGAAAAGTTTGGAAGCGAAATATGAGAGTAAAGTTTCTTAGAGTATTTGTTTTTGGTTTTAATCCAGGGGCGGATTTGAGAGGGGGGTGGATGTGGGTTTTGGCGGACGCTGCTTCCCTCAGGGATTCGACCCCATGCCGACCCAAAGAATCCCCATTTGTACTATTTTGAGATATCTATTTTGGTGAGGTACCCTAAAATTTTTCTAACGGTGCCTTTGGCGCCAATAAATACTAATTTTATTGGCAGAGGAAACAAATAGAGCATTATTTTGCAGTTTCAAAAATTAATGTTTTTAATTTTATTGGCAGAGGAAACAAATAGAGCATTATTTTGCAGTTTCAAAAATTAATGTTTTTAATTTTATTGGCAATCGTCAAGCATGAGTTTTACAAACGGTTAGAGTTGACTACCTTTTGTTGATTTTTGTATTAGGAGAAAAGGTACTTTTTAATCTTGTTTTTTTTTTAAAATTTGGCTCAATTTGCAATTAAGGGTCATACAGCAATACAGTTTGGAAGCACCATGGACATGCTACTACTTCGGCATGTTAATGAAGGAAGTTTTCAGAAAAAAAATATTTATCAGGGGAACTCGCCCAATCAATTAGTTAAACAGATTGCTCGTATCAAGATAAAACCCTGAATGTCTCGGCGGCTTTTTAAGGTCTATGGAGTATTGTTTGCTTGCCAAATAGCGTGTCTCAACTCAATTTTGAACAGTTTTAAACGGGTTAAATTTCAACTTACGCGTTAAAATCACAAAAAATATTGCGTGTTTGTAATCCCAAATTGGCAATTTTTAAACCCCAAAAACTTAACAAAAACTGTTCTTGATCACAGCTGAAAACTTGATATGATTTTGAGCTCAGGGCTCAATACTTTTTGGTTGATATCAAAATGTTCCGTCAAAATATGCTAGTTAAAAAGTCGAAACTATCTGGAGAAAAAAGCACTCGAGCAGAAACATGTCGTCAATTTCATCGAAAGTCGGAGTTATTATTAGTACTTGTTATTAATGTTAACGATTAAACAAAAAAATTAAAAGATAATTACAAATAATAATCTTGTGTCTCCATTTTTAATAGACTGTTTTTATTAGTGATCGGTTTAATTGAAACTATTTCTCCCTCAATTCTTTTTAACTTCTGAAACAAATGACGATGTAAAAAGGGATGTTGCGTAATGCAATTTTTGCGTAGCGAGCATTTTCTACAGTTTAGTAAGTGATCTAACTTTTTGATTTAAAAATTTAAAAAGAAGGGGACAGAAAAATGGAAACAGGAATTCGAAGAATGTTGTGCAACTCGCTAGTTTCAATGGTTGGAATGAGGAATATCATGGGAAACTCCTCTTTGTTCCGACTTTCAAAAAGAAACGGTAATTTATGCTTGAGGTGAATTTTTATTCAGTCAATTTTTGTCTCGAAAAAAATTTTTTGAAAAAATATATATCCTATTGAAGATTATGATTAACAAAACTCAAATACAAAAATATATCTTGTCTCGATCTTTTTTGCACAGTTCTGAGAAATTGAAAATAGCCAATTTTGCCAAGCTCTGGACTAATTTATGCGTGCTTTGTAGATTTTATTCATAATCTTGAAAACTTAACGCGAATTATTTATGAATGGAAAATAATCCCGCACAACATAATTAATCCAAAAACAAATGAGGCTAGCTAATCGGTCGCATTAATTTCGTACGACCCAAGTTTTCAGACTTGATCTTTGGTATGTCCAAAACTTATGGTTTGTTATTTTTTTCTTTTCCCAAAATTTATTCGATATGGATTAAGAGGCAGTCAGAACATTCAGGGTTATGCCCTGTTATACGAGCAGCCTTGTTACCTTTTTTAAAAAAATTAATTGTAATTTAAAGAGTCTTTATAGTAATTTTAAGCACCTTGAGAAACGGTGGTATTGTAGCGTTCTGTATAGCTTCAAAAAAGCAGTGAAACCTGAATTTCGTTGCGCTCCATTAACGTCTCTTGATGATAATGGAAAAAGAATATCACAACTAAGAAAAAAATCTATATAAAACATGGCATTACGTTCAATATCGGTGATATAAAAAATCAAGCGATGATGCAGTCGTTTTGCAAATGGGACAGAACCGAATCTCCAACTGATTATTTTTTGAACCGTAAGTTTTGATTTTCCATCATCGGTTCTGCCATCATAAGACCTTGAAAGAGTGAAGCCAAATTCAAGCTCTGCTGCTTCCTTGGAGCCATGCAAACTTTTTATAAAACCACCGTTTTTAAGGGCTTAAAATTAGAGATGAAGATTTTTGATTATCTCTAAGAGGAGACTTGCATGCGATTCTATAATCCAAGTATTAAAAAAAAGAAACAACTGCCCTACATCCTTCGCAATTACTGGTTCTATTGTATGTCTCTTTTTGGTTTTTTGTTTTGAAAATGATTAGAGCCCTATAAAAATTGTAGAATGGGCACATCACACAAAAATTGTATTATAAGGCATCAATTTTGAGTCTATCTGCTTCAGAGGTTAACCCAAAAAAGCAACAAAAAAGTTCTTCATGATTGGAGGCATCTTCGTAACAATACGGTCATTAAAATTCGAGATATAATGTGGGACTTTTAGTGAACGGATATTATTTAATTTCTGAATTTTTTCCACTTGATCCTTGTGCCTCGTTAGTGATGGAGCCCAGCAATTATTTGAATTCCGTTCAAATCGCCCGTGCCCTGCAATTTGCAAGGTGAGTTCTTGCAAGTGAGTCGCAACATAATGGGCGCGGGATAGGTCTTCGCCTTGTCAACTTAGCAAAACTAACTTCCCGAGTTGACCTCCATAGATCGAAAATGCTAATCATACAATTTCATACACTTTGTCTATGGAAAATTGCTAGTCATACAAATTTCAAACATTTTTGCAAAATGAGTTTAATCGAATTTCAAAGGTATTTTATAGTTGTTTTGGTATCGAAATTGGTATCTCTTCATAAAAAAAGGGAAAAAAATGGTATGAAAAAAAATGCTAACCATACAATTTCCATATATGGAAATTGTATAATTAGAATTTTCTTTAAAATTTTTTTTTGTGAAAAAAAAGCTTTGATCAATCAATTCAACTGCTGGCAAAACATTTAAGCGTTTTTTGGGCTGCTACGACTGAAAAATTCCTCTTTCTTTTGTATGACATGTTTTTGTATGCCTTGATCAATGTCTGGTAATTTAAAAATTCAAATTTTAGAAATAATCATCTTTGAAAATTATTGCCAAAATTTTAAAAGTTCATTACTTTCGTTATATTATTTGTCTGAGACAGTAGTAACACATGTCAAGATGTTTCCAATGCATTTTTTATGCGAGACGGCCAAACCGTTGGTTACTACGTTTGAGTAATCAAGGTTTATGTCATTTGTGTTCGGTTACGATGACAACCGAAAAATTTTGAGAAATTAAAATGTAAAAAATCAATATTTTTGGTTTATGGAAAAATGCTAGTCATATAATTTCCATATATGAAAAAAATACTAATCATAGACCTTTCATGCAATTTTCTGTACGTATGGAATTGTATGGAAAGTGTATGATTAGCATTTTTCCATATATGGAAACTGTATGACTAGTACTTTTGGTCATCCCGGGTTACAGGTTACGGCACCGGGCTGATTAAATGAAACTAGTCATAATATGCTGAAGCAATAAAATTTCTATGGTGCTTCCTATTTGTAATATTATAGGACCTTTAAGTGAGAATCGAGCCATTAAAAAGCAAAAATCATGAGAGTTTAAGCATACAATTTCCTAAAGACCAAAAATCAAGGCTAATTTAAAGCTGTTGTAAACATCGAACCTGGAGATTGCCAGTAGCTAGAAAATTTCAGTTCTTGAAACTAAAAATTAAAGCTCCATTTAGAGTTTCTATCGCTTACATGTGAACTCGAAAAATGACAACTCATGAAAATGAGGTAAAACTTAGTCGCTCTGAAGTGTCTTGCATGTTCGGTCATTTTGAAACAAGCAACGATTTGACAATTTAACAAAATATTAGCACCTCTGATTGGTGTGTTGCTAGCTCAACAACAAGGTACGAAATTAAACATAAACAAAAGCCGGTTATCGGCGACCTAAAATCAAGACGTGTTGTTCACAGTTGTCGCTTATTTCGAGTTTTTGCGGTGCCAGTGCCATGTATTGAGCCAGCACCTAAAAAGTTTCGGTCTCAAAACGACAGAAGAAAAACAGTTACAAAATAAGCATTTAAAACAAACAAACAAACAAACAAACAAAAGAATTCTTAAATGATAGGGGTTGCTGAAGGAGCAAACGCAATTTAGAAACAGTAAGATTGATTTTTTTTGCATGCGATAAAGCAATAATTTTCACCTATTGACAGAGGGTAGATATTCTCTTGACACATGGAAGAATTAAATGATGTAACAATTTTTTACCAATCAGGTTTGTTAAAAAGTTGTAACAATTGTAGATTTGATAAAACTATTTCGAAAATGGTTTTGCTCCCATTCTTTTGCATTCGGCAGCCCCTATCTTTTAATGATTTTCTTAAGAAAAAGTTTCATGAGCTGCTAATTACAAAATTTTCTGATATTGCTTATTATTATAGTCCTCACCCCGTGCGCCAATAAAAATAAAGCGTCCAAGCAGTGACATTTTCCAATCAAAACTTATTAAATCCTATCAAAAGCGCAAACCAAATTTTCAATTTTCAAAATCCCAAAACAAAACTTTTTCATGTTATAATGATGCCAGGAAATTGTTTCCTCGAAAAAGATCATTTGAACAAAAACTTGTAAGACAAAAATTCTAATATTGGAAGTTCCTTTGTTTTTC